ATTTGTATACGACCATATTCAGGGGTGAGATTCAACTATTTAATGGTACAACATGGACACCAATTAGAACCAGAGCATAGAGCAGCAGCCTTGCACATAAATGTTTGTGTATATGATTTGAAGCCATTTTTAAATGACTATTTAGCGTAGTGGTTACGAATCGGGCTGCGAACCTTAAGGTCAGTGGTTTGAAACTACCAGCCGCTCTGCGGGAGAAAGATGAGGCTTTCTATTCCCATAAAGATTTACACCCTCGGAAACCCTGTTGTACAGGGTCGCTATGGGTCGGAACTGACTCGACGGCACTTAACAACAACAACAACATTGAAATAGACAGTTAACTAAGGGAATCCTGGTGTGGCATCATAGGATAAGCACTGGACCACAAGATCGGTCGGCAGTTCAAACTCATGAGCCACTCCATGGAATTCCTATACAGGTTCACTATGAATCAAAACTGACTTGAAGGCACTTAACAATAAACAACAACAATATCGTTATTTGTAATTGTAATTGAGGAAAATCAAAGTTGCTGAAATGCCTTACAGTGTTTTTCACAAGCATCACATTACCTGAAAATCACATTTCCTGCTCGGTCTGCCTTCCAGGCTTTCACCAAAGCAAAATCCCCTGTAATCGCTTCCTCCAAAATAAAATGCTGACCATTAAACTCCCTCACCTGTAGGAGACAAGAAGAGCACTGTCAGGAACTTGTGAAGGTCCCATTTGAATGTGACAAGAGCTTTGACTGAGGTAAATAATGGGGCAGAAGTGCCCCAACAGGGAAGATGTCTCAGAGGGAGAAGTATCTAAACTGAGATCTCAGGATGAATTGTGTTAGGCAATTGGGACTTAGTCAAAGTTGGTGAGAGGTGAATTGAGGGATTAGCATGTGTCCAGGACGAAGGAGAGCTTGGTACATTTAAGTAACTTAAAGTTCTGTATGCTGAGAATAGACCAAGTATGGTCATACTCATTTTTTATTATTTGTGTATAATAGTTATATGTTGAACATGAAAAATAGTTTGTCTTTCCCTCTAACCCATAAAAAACATATTCCATGAAATAGCCAATGTGTTGCTTTTGTACATAAGACAGTTATAACACTTCACTCATCTTCTCGAATCTGTAGTATCTATTGACATTTTAATTGGCTTCCTAGAATTTTTAGATTAATTTGAAGAGAACTGGCATGCTATTTTCATCCTACCCATAAAGATAAATTATTTAAAAGACAAAACAAAACCAGTTGCTGGCAAATCGTTTCCAATTCATGATGATTCTATGAATTTCAGAGTAGAACTGTGCTCCATAGAGTTTTCAATCTTTTGGATTTGATATTTCAGAAGCAGATCACCAGGTGTTTCTTCTGAGGCAGATCTGGGTGGATTCAACCTTCCAGTTAGTAGCTGAGCAATTAACAATTTGCACCATTCATGGACTCCTTGAGTAAAATACTACTACCCACAACCATGGAGTCCTGGTGCGATGCTGTAGGCTAAGAAATGGACTGCTAACTGCAAGGCTGGCAGTTCAAACCCACCAGCCGCTCCTCAGAAACCCTATTCAGGGTCAGTACTGGACAGTACTTAACAACAATAACAATGCACTTCCATCAAGTCGATTCCAACTCATAACAACCCTATATAGAGCTTCTGAGACTATAAATCTTTACAGAAGCATACAGCCTCATCTTTTCCCAGGTGATCTGTTAGTGGATTTGAACCACCCACCATGTGGTTTAGTACCCCAAAACCTAGCCCACAGCATCAACAGGACTTCTCTGAATAAAAATAGAGGCCTCCATTTACTAACTCCTGGTATGACGCTGTAGGATCAGCACTGAGTAGTAACCACAAGATTGGTAGTGGTTGATGTAAGTCGGAACCAACTCAACGGCACTTAACAACAACATTTACTGAATTATTTTCTTTACCTTCTTCAATGCACAATTGTATATTTCTCTCCATAAAAGTTGGATATTTTTCTTAGATTTATTCATAGGTACTTTAAGATTTCTGCTACTATTCTGAAAGTTATGTTTTCTCCTCTGATATTACTGGTCTAATTGAAGGTTATAGATTTTATATGCTATTGCCCATCAGTTGCTGCCTGGAAACCCTATACAGGGTCACTATGAGTCAGAACTGACTCGACAGCACTTAACGTACTGCTTTTTAATTCTACAATCAGTTTTGGGGAAGGAGAACATAAAGCAAAATTATGTATTAGTATGTGCTTTTTCCTTCTTGGGAATATATCTATAGGAATTAAAACAAAGAAGAAAGAAAATAACATCAATTATAGTCTATCACTCATAGGCAAGAGCCATATGAAGGGAGAACTCCATTCTCATACCTACTGCACCCCCTAGTGGACAAACTGTGTGCATCTTATAGAAAACCGTAGAACATGTGGATACATTTTCTTTTCTAACTGTGGTTTGAAACAGAAATCCTTTCTTAAAGAAAAAGATTTTCTTTTTGAGAAATGCCTTTTCAAAAGGGATTACCATAATTTCCTGCTAGAAAAGATGAATAACTAAGGGGCTCTTTGATGAAGGAAGATCTTATTAATGTGACCTTGTGGTTGTTGTCAGGTGCCATCGAGTCGGAACCGACTCATAGCGACCCCACGCACAGCAAAACGAAACAATGTCCGATCCTGGGCCAACCTCACTACCGCTGCCACACTTGACGCCATCAATGATGCCACCTGGCTGATCCATCTCGTTGGGGGTCTTCCTTAAATAAATTATATTAAAGATATTTAAATGCTTCATAAAAGTTATTATTTTTTTAGCATCTGGTGCTATGGGTTAATGCTCCAGACTGCAAAGCCGTTTGAACTGCAAGGTCGGCAGTTTAAGCTCACCAGCTGCTCTTCAGAAACCCTATACAGGGTCGCTATGAGTTGGAATCAACTTGGCAGCACTTAACAACAGAACTTCAAAAGTCATTACAACTATTATCACTCAAATGATGATAGTTGAATATTTTATGTCCAGATCTAGACAACTGACCTAAAATCTGCGGTTTTCAGTTCCAACTGTTGAGGTTGGCCACCATCTTTGAAGCAGGCACTATTGTCTCCTACTCTGCTACGCAATACACACCCTGCCCTTGTTTTCTAAGAGGGAGATTACATTTCTAGCAGGGAATTGAACTATAATTTTTCATTCTGATTATTATTCTTGTACATACATATTTTACAAATTTGGGTCCATTCTGCGAACACTTCGTTGCCCATGACTAAACCAGGGAGATCTAATTCAAAACCTTGGGCTACATACCAACTATTATAATGTTAGCTATTCTAAAATTCAAAATCAGGGCAAGAACTGGATTTGTCAAAAAAAGTTATTATCTTCACTGAAAGAGCTGTCTCTACTTACTCACCTCTTGATTCTTTCCTGAATTAGCGTAAATTGGATTTTCATCCTCTCTTCTCTAGAATACCCACTATTTAAGGTCTCTTAATGACATCCATTTTTCCAAATTCAACAGAGAATTCCCAATCCTCATGCTACCTGGTATTTTCACAGTACTTAACACAGTGGGTCACTCCTTCCTTCTAAAACTTTACCTTGGCTTTCAAGACACCAGATTCTCCTGTGCTTCCTCTCTGCTCACTTTCTTTCCTATTCTCTGATGCTCTTCCTGTTCCCAACTCTTAATGTGAAAGTGGCCCAGGACTCAGTTTGTGGACTTGCCTACCTGTACTCAGGCCCTAAACATTTGTCTAATCCCATAGGTTTAAAAAACAATTTGCCGACATTCCAAACTCTCCCATAAGCTTGAACCTCCCAAGTACCTGCTCTTAGAGTCTAATGGCATCTCAAATGCACCATGTCCCAAACTAAGCTGTGTTTTCAAGCCTGGGCACCCACCTCTATATGAAACATACTTGATTCTTTCCTTTTCTTACACTCCACAACCAATCCATCATCAGGAAAACCTGTTGGCTTTATTATCAACATACCAATTCCAACCACTTCTCACAATGTTTACTGTTGCCACCTTAGCCTACTACTACCTACTAACCTCTCCCTTGTTTCTCCTCTTGGCCCCCTACCAAAACATTCACCACCCAATAGCCACAATGATCTTTACAAAATGTAACAATTTAGATCACGTCTCTCTCCCACTCATAGTCTAAACTCTAAACTCTCCGCTGGCAACTAACTACACTCAGTAAAGTGTGATCTGGCTCCTGCCTCTCATCAACCTCCAGTCCTACCACTCTCTGCCTTGTTTACCCTGTTCCTGCCTCACAGTCCTGCTAGTCTATGAATAGGACAATGTCTTCCTTTTGCCTAGAGCAGTCACACCCCTGATATTCACCTAGCTTGTTCTCCTACCTTATGCAGGTGTCTACAAATATCACCTCCTCAGAGACGTTTCACCTGACAACCTCCCTAGCACTCACTGATCACTCTCTAGAGTTGATGGAGTTTTCTTCACAGCACTTTCACTACTTGACATTACGTGTTTGTTTCATTCCTTGTCAGTTCTTCCACTAGCAGAAGGACTTGATCTATCTCTGTCCCTACCATAAACAAGAGAAATAAAGAGCTAACAAGAATCATTTCAAAAATGACTTGTCACAGTCTAGGGAAATTCATAAAGAATTATAAAACTACTAAGTGCATGCATCTGACTCCAGGTATAAATATATACATGTAATTAGGCCTGATTCCACCATATCCTATGCTTCTCAGAATGAGTTAATTCTACAAGGTCTAGCTAGCGAGCTAGTAAGGTAGTAACCCAATTATTTCAAGGAACCCTTATCTTATATTACTAAGATTCAATTAAATAACAAGCACCTATCTTACACGCTGTCAAAACTAGTTAGAGTAAAGAAAGAAACAAGATAGAAAATGAAAAATATGATTTAAAAAACAACAACTTGGAATCACTGTCGGTCACACTGAGAAAAGCAAAGCCCTGAATGGAAGACAATGCTGAAGACAAACATTAAACATCAAAGATCCCTTCTCATCCCTCAAAACATGAAGGTACAGAGACAGAAGTACTCTACACATAAAAGTGATAAGAGATACTCTGATTTACTAAGTTTTCACTTTTCTAAAAATAATCTTGGTAATTTTTCAACCTGTGTTAACTCTCTTAAGCCATATGTATGATAAGGAGAATTGTAAAGATACACTTTTAGTGTTTTCAATAGTTATAAAATATTAGCCTGTATAATTTTAAAACTCAGCTAAAGTCTGAGTATCTCAAATATCTACATCCAGAGTTCAGATCTTCTTTAACATGAGAGAGTAGTCGCTTCAAATAAAGACACCTGACCCTTGTTGTTGTTGACCTTATGGTTCACAGTAAAATGCTGATCCTACAGTGACACACCTTAACTCCTGACCCATAGCCAGTATTTTAAATAAAACTAGGTTAAGCCCTGCTGTGGTGCTGTGAGATAAAGCACTGGACTGCAAAGTGGGTTTGAATGACCAGGTCAGCAGTTCAACCTTACCAGTCACTCCTTGGAAACTATATATAGGGTTGCTGTGAGTTGGAACTGACTCAGCAGCACTTAACAACAACAGGTTAAGTCTGAAGCTTAGATATACTCCAAGACACAGAATGAAGGCTAGAAGTGCTAAGTGTGAACTTACTACTTAATCCTTTATATAATTATTACTTTATATAATTGTTGTTGCGAAAAGTGCCGTTGAGTCAGTTCTGACTCATAGCAACACTGCATAGGGTTTCTGGGGAGCAGCTGGTAAGTTTGAATCATCAACCTTGCAGTTAGCAGTCCAGTGCTTACCCTACATTGCCACACCAGGACTCCTTTATATAATCAGTCCTCTGCTTTTTGAAACTGTAAACAAATCTATCATTTCCTCATTTCTTTACTCCTTCACTTACATACAGATGGAGCCTGAACATTAAAAATTTAACAATATACTCTTACATCTCCAGTTTTCCAGATGAGTATAATTATTCTAAACTCATTAAAATCTACCATAAAATCCATTCAGATAACTAATCTTGACTTGTTGTTAAGTGCCATCAAGTCAGTTTCAAGTCACAGTGAGCCTACATCAGGTTTCTAAGGAGTGGCTGGTGAGTTTGAACCTCTGACCTTGTGGTTCAAACCAACTTTGAGGTTGAGTGCTATCCTACAGCATCACACCAGAAGCCCTGCCTTGACTAACACATCTTATTTGGATTACAGTTCCCATTCTTCTTGTTTATTTTTGTAGTTTCTTAGATTTTTATTTTCTAGGGGTTTTAACTACTAGTAGATGATGGACGATTTTAGTTAAAATTGCATCTAACATCATGCAAAGGTGACTTCTACGTATTCACCCAGTGAACTGCCCAGGGTCCTATGAAAGCAACACCCCATGTTACCTGGATGAGAGTGATTCTTACCTCTCTTGGCTTACTGGCAATGGCAATGCTGCCATCTTTGTTGTATTTGATCGGCGACCCTCCTTCTTGTATTAGGGTCCCGTATCCTGTGCTGGTGTAAAATGCAGGGACTCCAGCCCCACCTGCACGAATCCTCTCTGCAAGTGTGCCCTAGAAGTAAGCAACCAACATCACCATAAAGAGTAAGTTACACACACTTCTGTATGAAGACACAGAAACATTAACAGATGTAGCCTCTAGTTTCTACATCAAAAATGGTAAACCAATGAAAATCATATAAAAAGGTAAACCAGGCGATTCTGACTCCTAACAGCTCTGTGTGTTTCAGAATAGAGTTTTCTGTGACCTTCTGGAAGCTGACTTCCAGACCTTTTCCACAATACCTATGAGTGGATTCAAACCATCATCTTTTCAGTTAGTAACCAAGTGCTCAATCATTTGTGTTACCCAGCCTGCTGCTACTAGGTACTGTCAAGGTGGTTCCAACTCACAATTCAGTGCACAATAGAAGGAAACACTGCCTGGACCTCCGCCATACTCACACTATGTGAGCCTATTGTGGCAGCTAGTGTGTTTCCTCAAGGGCCTTCCTCTTTTCACCAACCCTTCACTTTACCAAGCATGATGTCCTTTTCCAGGGACTGGTCCCTCCTGATACATGAGTCGAACGAAGTCTCGCCCATCCTCACTTCTAAGGAACATTCTGACTATACGTCTTCCAAGACAGATCTGTTCATTTTTCTGGCAGTCCGTGGTGTATTCAATATACTTTGCCAACACCATGATTCAAAGGCATCAATTTTTCTTCTGCCTTCATTATTCATTGTTCAGCTTTTGCATGCATGCATCTGGGTCGATTAAAAATACCATAGCTTGGGTCAGGCAGACTAAGTGACCTATTTATTTTTTAACAGTTTAAAGTGATCTTTTGCAGCAAATTTGCTATCATGTGATTTCCCAACTGCTCCTTCTAGGGGTGTCATTTGTAGAGCCACGTAAAATGAAATTCTACAAAATTTCAATCTTTTTTCCACTTATCATGAAGTTATTTTTGGTCCAGTTGTGAAAATGTTTTGTTTTCTTTACACCGATGTATTATCTATACTGAAGATTGTAGTCTTTAATATTCAACAGCAAGTGTTGCAAGTCTTCTCACTTTTAGCAAGCAAGGATGCGTCATCTGTGTATCACAGGTTGTCACTGAGCATTCCTCCAACCCTGGTGCCGTGTACTTTCCTCTTCATGTAATCCAGCTTCTCACATTCCTCTTCAATTTGTCATTCCCAGAATAATAAACCAAACGATTCTCTGATTCAAAATAGCTAATAAGAGTCCACTTCAGCTCACTAATGCCTATTAGGAGTTCTGGGGTGGCGCTATGGGTAAATGCACCAGACTGCAAGATCGGTTTGAACCAAAAGGTCAGCAATTCAAGTTCACCAGTCATTCCTCAGAAACCCTATACAGGGTCACTATGAAGTGTAACCAACTGGACATCACTCAGTAACAATAACAATGCCTATTTATGTGTTTCAATTCATTTCTGAAGACTTCCAATTTTCCTAGAATCCTACTTTGCACTCTCCAACGTTTCGATTATTCATGGATGTTTTCAGCTGTTCTAATCCTGAGTTATGCCCCATCAGCAATGAAGGTCCCAAAAGCTTTGCTCCAACCACATCAAGGTCAGTTCTACTTTGACAAGTCAGCTCTTTCCAAGTCATATTTTGAATGTCTTCCAACAAGAGGGGTTCATCTTCCAGCACAGTATCAGACAATGTTCTGTTGCTCTTCATCAGGTTTTCAGTGGCCAGTTTTTCAGTAGACCATCTCTTACTTCTTTCTAGTCTGTTTTAGTCTGGAAGTTCCCCTGAAATCTGCTTACTGTGGGTGACCTTGAAATTATCAGTGGCATCATAGCAACACACAAGCCAATGTAGTAGGACAAGCAAACAAACGGTGGCCTTCCTCTGTAGAGACTTGGAATTCAAAAAAGAGCCTCACATTGTATATTACTGTATTTCACTTACCCTGTACATTGGGATATCAATTAATAAAAAACGATGCAGCCTCTCCAGACATCAATCTCTTTATTGCTAATCTACATTAAGAATGTAATGCCTCATGTGTATCGTCTTGTTTTCAATTTCCATGCCTCCCACTGGTTTCTTGTCATCATACTCTATGTCTATCTGGTTTTAATATTAATAAATTAACTTTGGATCATTAATTATGTTTGTTTAGTTATCTATATTAGATAACTAAATGTAATTAAATTAAATTTTCACTTTACTATATGCTAAGTAGTTATAGCTTAAATTTTATCATTAATAACAGCAAATCAATAAAGAAAACAGTTTAAATTTACTTTGGTGGTGGTGGTGGTGTGCCATCAAGTCAGTTCTGACTCATAGTGACCCTGTTTTGGGTTTTATTCTGAGGATACAAATCTTTACCAGAGCAGATACCTTTCTCCCCTGGTAGGTTCGAAGTGCTGACTTCATGGTTAGCAGCCCAGCTTGAAATTCACTACGCTACCAAGGTTCCTTTTAAATTTGCTTTATGATTTCTTTATTTTAAATCATTCCCATAAATATTTTATCTAATAAGTACAACAGCATAAATAGGCTCTTAAAAGCCAAGAGTACTTCAAATATGCTTAGGGTAGAAACATGTTGGGGCAAGCAAAGGTTTAGGTTGTTACTTGTGGTTGTTCATCTGCCTTTCCCATAAGTGGCCCTTACTCCTCCAAGGCTCCAGTGATTTCAAACTGCTTCCCTAGTGGGCAAAGTTTCCTCTCCCTCATCTTAACCCATACTGCCTTTCTTTATACCCAGCTTTTCATAGAGGAACATCTCTGGCCCTAACATTTTCCTGACACTCTCCATAATATTGAAAGTTACTTGCATGGTCTTGCTACATCAGTCTGGCAAGATAGCTGACTGACTAATTGGACATAAGATCTGGTTTAGGTATTAATGACAATGAGTTAATATTGCTCAGATCTGAAAGCAAATTTTCATTTAACAGAGGTCTTTAAATACTTAACTCCAACAGCAGATAAGAGTCTAGATTTCAGTCTTATCTAACTGAAAGAGATAACTACTTTGGTCTTGTGAATATTATTAACATTACTAAAAATTAAATAATTAAAACAGCCATGATGACACCCCTTACTTTAAGATAGTTTTACTTTCTACCCTCTCTGGACACATCACTCCTTCTCTATCCAATTTGACAAGGGCGCAAGAGTAGAACAATTCAGTAGAGAGGTCCTGTTCAGGGACCAACCACTAACCTCCCAATCACTCCCTAGTATGTTGCCAATCCCTTACCCACTGGCTCTGAGGCTGAAAAACAAGCTGCCTGAGTCATTATTTATGAGCCACTAGAGACACTGGCCTCCTTCAACTTAAAGACAGAACATAAAAGAAATATTAAGGAACTTGTTCTCCCATGTGTATGATCTCTGACAGAATAAGAGGCCATTCAGAAGATACAAAGGATTGTTGAGAAGTTAACATTCAATAATAGCTCCACAACAGGTATACTGAACTATAATGTGAAAAGGAAAAGCATATTTTCAAAATACTTTAAATGCAAAATGGGTGCATATTAAGCATAGTGCAATACTTAGTTACAAAGCTAACAATGCTTCAGAATGTCCAAGTGTAATCATGAGTACCACTGTAAGGCCTCAACTTCAATGTGTAGATCTCTCACATGATCTCTCTAGACTAGCATATGTGATTATTGTTGGAAGGTACCTTTGAGTTAATCCCAACTTATAGCATGCTCATGTGACACAGCGGAACTGCTCTATACAACTCTCTGGTCTGCAATCTTTATGCAGATTGCCAGGTCTTTCTCCAGTAGAGAAACCATCAACCTTTAAGTTAGCCTCCAAACACATAAGTCTTGTACTACCGGGGCTCCTTTAAATGAGCATACCTTGTGATTTAATTACTGAACATAAAAAACATCTCTCTGCCACATTATGTTATTACTAACTCGGTGAAACAGCGGAAACCAGAGTGGAGGCTGAGTCTCAGGGATGAGGCAGACCATGTGAAAACAACAAACACAACCTGTAAACCTTTGTTTTACTCAAAAGGTTTCAAAGGGTTTGCCTTCCTCTCTGACAACGCCTCGATCAATTAAGAAATGACGTAGAAAATTAGTGGAGATTTGCTAAGTTTTTGCAGGTTTTATTGTCATATGATCAGTTCCCCGGACGTGGGCTCTGGTGCCTTCTGTGGCTCAGACCTGGGCTCTAATGCCAACATTGCTTCTCTGTGATGGTGCAGTGGTATCCTCCATGGGCTTTACTCTCCTGAAGTACAACATGAGGAAGAAAGTCCAAATCACTCAAAAACAACCCAGTATCCAACAAGCTATGATTTGTAGAAACTGACCATTATAATGGGCAATCTTGAAATATTTCAGCCACTCCTTTTACATGCTTCCAAAGCAATATATATTATAATGGTGTACTTTAAAATGCATCTTTTAGCCTAGATATTTTTGCTAGAAATACCTCCTTTTTCAATAAACAGTGGCAGAAAATATTAATTCCCTAACAAGTCAACAGGTATGATCTACAGACAAAATTGCTTGATTTGACAAAATACCATCCTCTCTACCTAATATAACTTGCACAAAGAAGTTTCAAAAGAATCAAATAAATGCCTACGTTAGTATTATAATAAATAAATTAAAAATAACGTCTAGTAAAACATCTCACCTGCGGTGTCAGCTCTACTTCCAATTCACCAGCTAAGTACTGTCGTTCAAATTCTGCATTTTCTCCAACATAAGAAGACACCATGCGCTTTATCTGCTTGGATTGAAGTAAAAGGCCCAAGCCAAAGTTGTCAACCCTAGAAGGAAAATGAAAGCAGCTTACAATCAAAGGAGCATTTCTGATTAAATACTATCATCACTTTAAA